TGCTTTTGCATATATGCCATGCCGTAAATACATATATTTATTTCTCTTCATATTCTCTGTTATAATATGTGAGAGAATTGTAAAAAATGTTAAAATTGTGAGGCGAATGCCGACCTACAATGTTAACAAATGCGGCGAATTCCTTAGCCGAAATCTAACAAATGTTCGCAGTCGAACCTGCACCTTCTCTATACTTTACATTCTCTGACTTTACATTCTCTGGCTCAACAAGGCTTTATCACTGCTCGTTCTGTTGTTTTCAGCAGAGATAACTTTTTCAAAGATTTATCTCTGTTTGTTTATACATATTTTAGTAATTATAGTAAGATATTAAAATGTTTGATGGGACATCTTGTTTACTATGCTTAAAAAGTTCAAAGGATCACATAGATTTGGACTCCAAAGAAGGTATCGACTTGACTGGACGTGGAGTGATTGAATTGCATTTTAAGGATGAGGTGCGTAATTTTTATAAATTTCCCCTTTTTATATACATTTTATTTATTTTGTTCAGCTGGATATGATGTCTCATTTTGAAATGAAATTCATTTGTCGACATTGTTGGAATTTAGTAGAAACATTTCATAAATTTTATGAAAATGTGAAGCAAGTGCACAAGGAAGCAGCGTACGCTATCAAAAGCGTAACTTTCGAAACGGATAGTTTTGAAATAAAAGAAGAAGTCATGTCTAATGATGACACACAAGTTGAATCAGTAACGGAATATAAAATTAAAGTTGAAGAATTTATATTACCCCCCTCAACTAGTCACACAGACATATGTAATCCATCAGAGATGGTTTCAGAAGACTTAGAGATTAAAGATGAGGTTTTGATCGAAGAATGTATGGAGAATTCTGTATCGTCATACGAGTATAGTTCATACTCGGAAGAATTGGAGAGTGAGAATGAAGGTGATAGATACTCAAAACGAAAGTCTCGTATAATAAATAAACCAAAAAGCGTTAGTAAGAAAACTGCGGAACTAGATGAATATATTGCAAAGAAAAATTTTCAATTTACTTGTTGCATTTGTCAAATTCCATTAGAAGACTTCACACATTTGAAAAGCCATTTCAGTGAAGCGCATCAAACGAGTGGTTATGTGCTATGTTGTGGTAAAAAAATACGTCAACGGGGTTTATTAATTGATCATATTAATTTCCATGAAGATCCCGACTATTTCAAATGTAAGCATTGCGGAAAACGAATGACGGAGCGACGTTGCATTGATCTTCATCTTCAGTATGTGCATGGCAATCGGGAACGTGTACATCGCTGTACAATTTGTTCCAAGGGATTTTTCCGTGCATCTTGTTTGAAACAACATTATAATAATATTCACGTTACGGAAGACCAAAAAACAGTACCGTGCTTAGAATGTGGTAAAACGTAAGTATTGTAGATATCGATTGGAATGAATTTATAACACCTTTGCAGTTTTCCATTGAAGTACCAGATTTTGATCGGTCAGTTTGTTTGCCAGCTATATGCTATAGTGGTCCGATATCGACGATTCATTCAAAAGTGTCTCTTGGTGAGAAATAAATGTGTTCAAAATTTTAGTCGATCAAAAACTGAGAGACTGCTTGCTTATACAGAAATATGGACGAACAGACGGTCATATCTAACTCAGCTCGTCATGCTGATCATTTATATATGCATTTTCTAGGGTATCCGATGCTTATTTCTAGGTGTAAACTACTCCTATATACTTAGCTGATATAATTTTATAATTATAATCCTTTCAGCTTCCCAGACGACATTCAATTAGGCAAACACATGCGTCTAATCCATGTTGGTGTGCCGGGAAAACTAATAAAGTGTGATCTATGTGATACAGCGGTCAAAACGAAATATGGCTTAGCACGTCATATGAAAACAATGCACACGGAAGAGTATCAAACGCCACAAACCTGCACAATTTGTTCTAAAGTCTCACCGTCTCTGCAAGCTCATCGTGAACATATCAAGTATATGCATTCCTTGCAAAGGAAACATGAATGCAAATTATGCGACAAAGCCTTTAAACGAATTACCGATTTTAAAGTGAGTTATAAGTTTTTGTATATATAGTATTTTTGAGTCCAAATAGTTAATCACATTATTTTCCAAATTTAAAATTGCAGGAGCATATGGCAACCCATACCGGTGAAGCTTTATATACCTGTAGTTTTTGTCCACAAACTTTCAAATCTAATGGCAATATGTATTCTCATCGAAAGAAGAAACACGCTAAGGAGTGGGCCGAACAGTCCGCGTTGAAGAAAAGCTTAGCGGTACCTTTAAAGCAGGCTGTCGAAGCTGACTAATATAAGAAATTTGGTGGGAAAATGTTTAGTGGCTTGTTATAGGAAATGTCTAAGCGTTAAGATATTTAATAATTATTTTTGTATTAATGGTTGTGATTTAGAACTATTAATTTGTATTTTTCGGAAATAAAATGTGATGATAATTTGGCATTTATAATTAATTTATACATTTTTTTAATCCAGAGATTATCCTCTTTCAGATTATACCCTCAAATCGCGGCGACAAAAGAATCGTAATATTGCTTTTAATTTAAACATAATAATGAAGAAACGTTGTTCCATCGTGTAACGCTCCAGTTTTTCAACACTTTATTTTTATTCTTTTCACCAAAAAGAACTAAATTGATTTATTTTTATTTTTTGTTTACAAATTTCAGATGTTTATTATATGTCAAATCCTCGTTTTTAAGGTTAGCAAAACCAATGAAACTTCACAAGTTCGTAGTAGAGAAAGAAGAATTGCGTTGATCTGAGGTTGAATTATCTCAGCTTCTGTTCAATTGAGCGAAGTTGAAAATCGAAATCAGTTGGTGCGGTGCTATTGACAAATGACAATGAAATGCTTCAACGTTAGCTGTTTTAACTAAAATAGAATCAACTGTTACACCGTGTACTGTTTTTTTTTTTAGTTTTGATAAGGCTAACTAGTGAAAGCACTTGAACTTAATTAAATATGAATACGTATACACTTAAATTTTGTTATGTGCTAATGGCATACAAATAACTGTACAAAAAATACAACTTCATTTGAAAGAGTATACGCTATTGTGTTTTATTTTCTGCTGCTTATACTGGACTGTAAGCACTTATTATTTAGTATCGATTTGCCGACTTATTGTTTTTAGTTAACGAATTATTTAACTTCCACGTAATGCTATAATTATTTCACTTAATTAAATGCCACACACTCGTATACATTTAAATGCCTATATATGAGCACAATGCAAAAGCGACGAACAGCACGACAATAATGAGTAATATTGCCACCCAAGCGGGTATTGTGCCTAAAGCGAAAAAGAAAATAAGAAATCATTAAAATATAAATACAAAATTCAATAAGCACTTACGTCGCTGCTGCAAACTGTGAATGCATACTTTATTGTCTACGGAAATTGAAAGAACCGCCGCCTCAGTATCGCTTGAAATTGGCGGTCCTTCTTCGTTTGTAATCGGTAAGAATTGTAAACCAGTGACGAACATCGAATGTGCGTTCGGTATGTGCAGAACACGCTATAAATTGGAAAAAGTTTCATTAAATCAAATCACAAGCACTTTCAATTTATTTTTACTTTACCTGTAAACTAAAGGCAATATAAATGGAAACACTACCCGAAAACATAGTGCCCACAGCTACAAAGCGACCATCGTCACGCACAGCCAATGACGCTAAACTTTCGTTAACTTGCACAGCACTCCTTAGCTGCCCACTAATGCAATCCCATTGCTGTAGAAAACCACGCTGCTTTCCCACCTTACCCAGCGGGTTCGTAATTGTGAAAAGTCGATATTTGTCGCGTTGCGCCTCAATGGTACCGTATCGACAGCGTTTGTAAAGGTACTTGGTACCCTCAGGTGTAGTCCATTTCAGTTGGTGATGTTGCTTCATAGTCGCCAAGTCCCACACTAAACCCTGACCATCTTTTGAAATAGTTACAATATACTTAGAGTCCGGACTAAAATCAATATCATCAATTTCCTTGTTGTGCGACCTAATTAACGGAAATCATATGTTAAAAATTGTATTTAGCAGAGCGTACATTACTTACGCTATGTCGCTGCGCTGCACCATTTGTGGAAATGTCCAAACACGCAAGTGACCATCCGTGCCGCCAGTTGCCATTAAACGGCCATTCGGACTAACGCGTACAACCCGCTGCAGCGGTTCAGTTGTCAGAAAATCTGTTTGCACTGAATCAGCTGCTTTAATATCAAACCGTATACGTTTCAGGTTGGCATTTTGATCGCCCGTCTTCTTGCTAGCACCTGTAGCATGTCCGTTTGGTAGATCCTGCACGCCAGATGCCTGTGCTACACGCCTACGTACACCATTTTCATTACCATGTTCCGCTGTGCTATTACTTCTTGGTCGCCTTTCGTCTGCATCTGTTGTCGCTTCCTCTTGACCCTCATAAACTATACGTGGATTAACAAAATATAATTGACAGTGTGATTCTTGTCCGGCGCACAGGTATGAACGTCGTCCATCGTTACGCACAGCAAAATTCATAACAACATTGGCGCCTGTCTCATGTCGCACAACCTCTTCCGCGCAGAAGTGTGTGCCGTTGTGATAGATCTCGTAGATTTCCTGTCAAAAAAAAAATTAATCCTTTACTAACTTTATTATTATTTTTAATTCTAAAATACTCACAAAGCCATTCGCTACACCTGTTTTAGCTGAGCCACCACCTCCTGCCACAAGTACATGTCGACTGGTTAGCATTTCAACTGCATATAGCGGAAAATTTACTCGAGCCAGCAAACCATCGCTAGGTCGTCGTGTAGGTGCCATTTTTATTCAGTGGTTAACTTTTTTTAATTATTCTTACAAATATATTGTCTGGATTTTACGTTTACAAGTTTGGCTTCCTGCACTTTGCTCCAGCTGCTGATGATGGCCACTCTTTCGTTGTTTCGAGCACTCTTTTCTATTTATTATTGTAGTTGTTGTTTCTTTATCTCGTCTTGTTTTAGCATAAATTTGTCGGTCTTCCTTGATTACAAATCTTACTCAGACTTCAAAACGAGATTCTTTCATGGAAATATGTGGGTTTAACAGCATAAAAGTTATGTACGAGTATAGTGAATCTTTCAAACCGCACTAATTATTGATTATGTTATTATTTAATTAATAATTCACTATATTTATTTAGTTTTTCTCTTATCGACTAGTTCAGCTGTGAAAGTTCCACGTACTCGTATCTCTTCTCCGCAATCTGTAGCTGACAGCTGTGCAGTGCTGCCATAGTGTAAAAGGCAAACTCATAAAATTAGAGAAAAAACACTTCAACTAAAAGTATTTGCCTCTTTTTATATTATATATATATTAAATTTGAAAATGCTTTTGTTTGTATTTGTCTAGCAAATTTATATCTGGAATAAAATCTGACTCCGTCGGCTTTTATTATTAGTTATAAAGGAACAGAGACAAGAGCTGTCGATAAAGTAGTGCACAACGTTACTGCAGTTCAAACAAGTTTATGTGGTTGGATTAAAAGAAATGTATTTGTATAATAATAATCGTAATATATAGATTAAAGATTTTTTGTTTATCCCTGAATATTACAATTTGTACTATGTTCTTTAAACTATGTATGTATGTATTGTAGTTGTATCTACGATTCACATTTCAAATCATTTGGACCACGAAACACGCTGCATCCGATTGACGTCCAAGGACTTCCGCTAACAGCAATAAGGAAGAGTGACAACGGAAAGACTGCGCACATATGAGCGTAATGAGCCAATGCCTTATTTCAATAATATTTAACCAAAACCAAAGTATGCCTCTTCCTTTTGCGTAATGAGGACCGTCAAATTTTTTATTCCTCCGACAGCGGGGGTAGCACATATCAAACGAAAGTTATTATTGTAATGTCACCACTGTCTCATAGCATTGCCGCACCACATTCAACGCTATAAAAAAGCTGCACTGCAAGGAGAACAAGAACTCGTGAAAACAACTTGTTGTGCCTTATTGAGGTTATGTTTGAACCGCAGTAGCATCCAACTAAAAGTAAGTATCCTCACTATAAATTGAGCAGTAGTTGTAGTTGTAGCGTTCTCTTAACAGATGTATTATGGATGCATATTATGGACGGAGAGTAACGTTATGTGCATATAAAACATCCGACATTTTTATGTTCAATTTTATGCGAAACATTCCCTTGGAAAAACTTAACGAACTTCTATTATCGGTGGAATGGGCGTGAATTCGTAAGTAAGTGTCTGCAAATACACATGTATGTATGGAAGCTATCAGGCATCGGCTAGCATCACTTTGCCACACCGACAACACTAATACAGGTAGTAAAACATGAACAGCTTTTGTAAGCTTTACGTGCTTGCTCGAGCGTCTATCAGCTTTTGTGGGAGGACTACACATAACCTCACACTACTCTTGCTAGTCCAACTCCCTAGTGGTACATATTTGGCGGTCGTGCGCCGGTTTTATATGCGCGTTCATTTCAGTGACATAAAATTTTGTACATTTTTATTTTAGAGACTTCTTTTTTGTGGTGTCTAGTAAGCGTAAGTGCGTAACAAAGTTGAAAGGTGGATAAGGAAATGCATAAAAATAAGAAAATAATTTTTTTATAACCACAAATTTAAGCTAAGCTAATTGAAATTGATTTTGACGTTGAAGTTTAAGGACTTCTTGTTTTCCTATTTACACTTCTGTATTTTGTTTTTATAATTCTTAGCTTATATGTAAAAATCTCTTGCTAAAGTACTATCATAGAATTAACTCATGCTTAACCCGGTTTAAATTTCATATAAAAATAATTATTAAGAACTAAACGTGCTTATACATATTTATTAACATTACATCTTTCTTCCTCATTCCTTTCCATTAAGAAAGCATCCGAAAAACAAGCAGCCAATCAAGTATAAAAAAGAGGCAAAAAAGCGTATTCATCCATATAAGGGCACACAAGTCTGATTCATACAGAACTTCGACTTTTCATAGCGAAAAAAGTCATAATAAAGCACAAAAATCCAGCATCATTTGTGCAACTCGTAAGTACAAGCGGCTCCATTGCAATCGCGTGTGCACTACCCACACACTTCTGAAGTTTGAGCGTCATTTCAGTGACATTCGTAAAGCAAACAAGTTGGAACGTGTGCCATATATGGTTGGTTGTCACCAAAAACACCCAAGAGCAGTTAACGCATTATTCTTAAATGCTGTGTACTTAAAAATAAGTATCAATGCAGACAAAAGCAGAATAATTGCATTACGAAAATATTGCAAGAGCTGGTGAATACGTAGCAAATAATAGTTTTTTTAATTTAAAGACAGGTATTGCACTCATATGTATGCATATGTATGAGCAGCCAAACTCCGCTGGGTCTGCTGCATTTCTAGTAGCATTTAGTTGTGTTCATAATCGAAATTCTGTTTGTGTTTGCGTAAAAATTTATAATTAATAAAAATATGTAATTTCTTTTGGTTTCTTGTTTGCAAAGTGAAACAAAATATAACAAATTTTGAATTTTGCTTCAGCAAATACATTGTTAAATAAAGTAAACAAAACCAGCTGTTAAAGTAAATATCAAACACAGGGTCGTAAAGGTGCTGCAAGTGTTTTTTATTTCATTAAGTTGTAAAAATTAAATTTTATTAAAATTACTGTATGATATTGTTACCATATAACAACAACAATAACGGGCTTAGCTTTTAATTAGAAATTTCCTCTTTTGCAGCACAATGTCCACATGAAATTGGGTTATGTGATATCATCAGCAACTAACCAATTAGAAAAGCAACAAATCCGCTTATAACGATGAGTAGTAAATAAAAGGCGAAATTGGCGAACTTGGCTAGAGACGCAAAGAATGTAGCGATCATGAGGATAAATAAAAAAGCAAATAACAACAACATAGCAACTAGAATTGTTTTACATATACATACATATATGTCCTGTATAAATATGTATGTAAATACTCTAACTAAGCTGGGTACAGATGCACCTACTGATCCAAGAACGCTCCCAATGAGTATTTTATTATGTATGCGATACGTAGATTCCGTTTAATAAGTAATCGGATAACGTTAATAATTTATTTCTGCTTATTTTTACCTCGAAGTTTTAATATGAATTTAAATTCCAAAAATAAAAAAAAATTATATTAAAAAAATTATGAATACAGGTAATGACCACATAATTTAGAATTTTGACAAAATGAAAGTCTCATCTTCGTTTTAAGATTTTGAAAATTTTTCCTTTTGCATTTTACTTTTTTAAGCTGACAATCAAAACTAAGGATTATAAATCGATTTTTATTAAACCGTTTGTCAAAGAATAAAAGGTACTAATAATTATTGGAGTTAAAGTAATGAAGCTAGACGCCTAGAGGCCTGAACACCAATACTTGTATTACCATTTCCGGTTACTTTTTGAGCAGAAGAATACATTTTACAACCGCCGCCGTTCAACTATCGCTAACTAACTTTCCACTGCCTTCTGTTTGCACCTCTAAGTTCACTGGACTATGTATGTATATTGTGGCGGCGGGTTCAGGTTCAAAATCGTGTGGGATGTCAAAGAACTTTTTCTTTTTTTCTTTCTTTAATAGAAATTACTTATATATATTGTTGTTGTTGGTAGTCTTGTTATCTGTCTTCAGTTTTTCTTCTTGAATTTTATTTTTATTTTGAATTCATTTAATTGGTTTATTGTTGCTACAAGCGATTGTTGTGCGGGTTATCTGTTGCCCTCAGTTGATCTGGTTTACAAGATTGAAGTTAAGTGGAACACTTTTTTCGTGAATCGGAAGTTTGTATGAGTTATTACTTATTGTTTTTGGTATATACCAAACATATGTAGGTATGTATGTATATATGTATGTACCTTGTAATACCCACACATACAATGTTTATATGAAGTGTACGCTTAACTGGGATTATGTCAGTGAATTTGTTGGTTAGCTGACGCTGTGAATGTAAGGTTGTGAGTTTTTTAATTCAAAAATTTTGGATTAAATACTAGATTATCAAGTCTTATTTCTAATTTTGGGATTAATTTTTTTAATAAATTTTTTTTCGAATTTGAAAATTTCTTAAAAAAATCAAAAAAATTACAAATTTCGGGTTTCTAAAAAGAACAGTAATGTAAAAACAGTTGAAATGTAAAATAAATTATTTTTCGAAGCATAATTTGCAACCTTGTTTAGATGCTTGATCAGAATTGTGCTCTAAGAAATTATTTTTTAGGATTATTTTGCAAGAAAAATAATTAAAGATAATTTTTTTTTATTTTTTTAAGATTATTTTTGTAGGAAAATATTTTTTTTAGAGAAGAGTTTTTTGTATTTCAAAATATTATTTATAATCATTATATCGTACCACTTAATGAAGTGAGAAAGCCGTAATTTTAACTTTACTCTAACCTATAAAAGTAAAACCTTGACACTTTCTTCAACAAGCGCAACTTGTTTCATGACATATGAATTATTTAAAATAAAATATATTTGTGTAAAATTTCGCAGCATAACACTACTTACCACAACAACAAATCAAGTTTGATTTAAATGACACAAACCCGATGTATGGGAGAATGGTGATGACTGAACTGTAACTAAAATTTATGCGTAGCCAAAGCTAACGGGTTTAAATTTCAAAAAAAAAAAAAAAAAAATACAAAATATTACATTTAAAATTTGAACTTGTTTTATATGGAAAAAAATTAACAAAAAAAACATTTTGAAAATATATTCAACACAAAATTTTGTTTTTGACTTACTAAAAAAATAAAAATAAAAATAAAATAAAACAAATTAAAAAAATGTATTTATTTATTTTGTTAAGTATGACCTGTGATTACCTGCTCAGTTTTTAATTTCTTTTTAAATATTTTCACCCTTAAATTTTTTTGCTTTACATTTTCCAGGTTTTTAAATTTTTATTGCCAAGTTCAATAATATTATAATTATAATTTTTACTGCAAATTGAAGACATTCCACACCAATAAATTGCTGTTTGAAAGAGGTAGCAGTCATCCGCGGAGGCTTAGTAATGCGTTTCGATGGAATAATAGAAAAAATATGCATTTGCCGCTGTTGTTGTTATCGCTTTTCCATAACAGTCATTTCATTTGTTCCGCTTTGATTTTTATTATTTTTCGTGAGCTCGCGTGAACAAGTCATTGCACTAGTACGCCACGATTTGTAATGTAAATTGTTTACCGTTAATATTTTGTTGTTGCCACAACAACTATAAAATCCCGTTTGGTGTGATTATCGCCACTACTGCTAGCTAGTCGATTAAAATGTCAAACTGCTTGTGAAAATTATAAAGTGATAAATTGCTATAATGAGAGGCACTAAATGACATATAATAAATACATACATATGTATGTATGTACATATCTACATTATGGAGATATACACATAAGAGTGTGAAAATTATATGTACGTACACATACAATATATTTAATTTATTTATAACCAACAATAGTGGAACCACCTACAAAAATCAAATTCTAACGTCTATCAAATGATTATGACTTCATTCATCTCCACCTCTACTGCTTGTAACATAGAAATTAATGTATCATGATTGTGTTTATGTGTTTAGATATGTATTATGTAGTAAAGAAAATAAAATAAAAGTAAAACAAAAGTAGGTAGCCCGGCAATTACTGCGGTCGCAAAGGCTAATCAGACAGCACCCAAAAACAAACAAAAAATAACATAAAATTGAGACTAACTGGGGAATACGTTGATTTCATTTTGTTGTTGTGCTACTTTTTTTTAAATATTTTTTTTTCTTTTCTCTTCGCGGCGCTTTTGCAATTTTCGCTACTTTTTTTGCACAAAACTAGTTTGTATGCCCACTTCTATACATACACACCCACACACATGCACGCCGGCTTTTCTCATTTTATAAACAATTCAAAAGCACACTCACCTCAGCTGAGCATTGCGAGATGATTCAACAATAAAATTTGCATTAAAGCAAATAAGCTACAAATTTTAAATTTGTTTACTACCTTATCGACACCTTTTAAAATAAATTTCCGTTAGACAGTTATAATTTTAAAATGCTCTCTAAAAATTTCTAATTTTTTGTTGTTCGGTAAAATTACTCTCTCATTTTGCTGCGCTCTTTGCTCTTCTTGACTTTGAAACTGCTGCTCATTTGCTTTTGATTTTCAGCTGTTTGGTTTTGTATTTTTGTTTATTTACTTTAAACTGCGCGACAGCAGACGAAGTTGAAGATCAACGAGTTGCCACTCTCGTGTACTAGAAATCTCATAATGTATTATTTATGTATTAGAATCTAAACTGATTATAATTTTAATTTTATTTGGTTTAAATTTCGCTTTTTGTTTGTATGTACCAGTTTTAAATATGCAAAGCTTATAGCGCAATAACTTAACATCCACTTGTGTGGCAGCACTAAAGTCTTTGCGCTTTGTATGCATCATTTTTTATACACTTGTTTTTGTTGTTTCATGGCTTTGTTTCGCTCAAGTTCGCAGCTTACAAACTCCTTTCTTTTGACTTTTTTCTGCTGTATTTTGTTGTTGAGTTGTTGTAGTTGTGCTTTTGTAATTTTTGCCATCTTCTGCTCATATAAAATGTCTGCGCAGCGTACTCTTGAAAATTACTTTGTGTTTGAATTTGTACTCGTTCATTAGTGCATCGATTTCTTTCGCCGGTTTTTACCAAGTTTCAAGCCTATTTTATTGAGAAAAGTTCTTGATTAAATAATCTAATTTGCTCAAATATTATCGGTTTGCTTAGCTTTGATCGCCTTAAACAAATAAAACACTGCCTTAAGTGCATAGTTTCTGTGAATTTATAAAAAACTGTGCAAGAATACGAGAAAGACTCTCACTTAGAACAATTTGCAAAGTGCTGCAGGATTGATTGCAAGAAAAGTTAGTGATCTACATATTTTGTGGAGTTTTTAAAGAAAAGTGTTATAGAAACATTTTTGTATTTTGAAGAATTCTCCAATTGGATTAAGCTCATCAATTACTATACATTCGGTAAATACGAGTGGGTTGCAGACGGCCATTTTGCCGCATAGCTGTGCAAAAAGTGCAGTTCCACTAGTGTGAAATAGAAGTGACTTGTATTTATTATAATATATAACTTTATCTATTGAAATACTAAAATAGCAGATTTTAAACTTCTTCCCACAATTTGATGTATCTTATGTTCACTACATGTGTGTATATGGTACTGCCGTCGGTTTCCAATGTTTAGGGGAAATAACACAAAATTTTTGTTGTATTGTCCTTTTTAGCACCTACTCGTCGAGTTTTCCAATAAGAAAACCAGTTTGTCATCCAACCCGTCTTCCTTTCTTTCGCCTACTCAAAAATTGAAGTTTTTATTTGTGCTTAATGATGTAAATATTTTACGCTTCCTTATTATTCTTCATATTTCATGTTCCTTGGCTGCTTATATACAAACTACTGATCATTCTCGATTTCCAAGTTTAGAACAGCTGGTTTATTTCAACGAGCAACTGTTTTTGTTCTTTGTTTGTTTCCTATCAATATATGTACATACTTATGTATCTTTTTATACAGTGTCGTTGTGCACTGAAGTGGAGTTGCTTCCTATCCCATTGTATGCCACTTTGTTTTATCTGTTTCTGTGTTCATGGGCCTGACAGCCGATGGTGTTGACGGTCTCAAAAACGCTATACAACTCAGAACAAAGAGCAGAAATAATGATCGCGCTCTTGGCATATTAATTATTTGCCTAGTGCTTATATTAAAAAGGAGTACCAAAAATATATTTTTACCTCAACTGGATATATTAAATACAGACAAACTATATACATATAATGATAAATGATTAGTGTGACGCGCTGAGGGAACTAGTATAATATTTACCGCCTATAGAAATTGACCGATCAAAGTCAAGATATGTATATGTTTTTTATACCATTTTATCATATAAGAAATGTACCTGTAAAGGGTATTATAACTTCGTTGTTTATCCTCTGTCCCCATTTTGCTTGTAACAAAGCATTCTTATTTTATAATCCTTTTGATCAAAATTTGCTTGAAGCACTGATTAGAATTTATTTGAATGTTTACGTATTCTTAGTTCATTTGTATTTCCAAAAACTAGTTTTTGTTAATAACCAGCAGTAATATCAACCTTTTTGTGCCAAAAATAAAGCCATAATCCTAATACTAGCCTACTTGTTTAAATATGAATTTTAATTGATAAAATATATTTACATAAATGTTTCATACCATTAAACTCTACGAATGTAAATAATTTGTAATTTCTTTCTTTCCCATTTCAGCAAGTTTTTACCCCCAAAATACATCATCGCTCTGTACACTTTGAAACTACCAGTTGATTTACAAAATTATTCGTTGCATAGATTCAAAAAATCTATAAAAGACAATCTAACTTCAAGAAAATAATTAAAATAAAAAATAATATTCTTCCTATAATAAAATCGGTTTTGCAATTTCAAACAAATACAACTAAACAACACAACATGGTGCATCCAGCTGAAAACACTGTAACCGCTGCCGCTGAACTAACAGCTGCTGAAAAAGAAGGTAAGTCATGTCTTATTCAAAATTTCAAAAATATATACATATTTACTTATGCGCAAATTGCGTGAGCGCTGCGGTTCCAAAAGCAGTTAAAAGTTGCGAGAAAAGTAAAAAAAGAAAATGCATTCGAAGAAATGTGACGAGGAATTCTTCAATAGTCACCAACTGGAAAAAGTTATATGCATTTATTAGCTCTCAAACATGTTTGACACAAATTTTGAGCATTTTCGTATTTATTCAACCGCAATTGTCATGCGTGGCTATGTCTCAAGCGTAAATGCAACTTTTTTTCAGTTAAATAACTAAAACTGTGTATGCATTTTATACTTCCAAGAAGCGCACTAGAATTTATCAACCATTGCATTGGGCTTGAGTTATTGTTAAAAATAAATTGTCATATGAATGACTTTGGACGATCCACCTACATACGTACGTACTTACACATATGAATTTATAGAAATGCATACTACATATGTATGTACATATATGTATCCGTACATATGTATGTAGCAACCATTGTTGTGATTTTGCATTTTTTGTAGTGGGCAGGTACATAGCTACTCCAGAGTTTTGAAAATGGCTTTTGTGCTCCAAAGCCGCTATTACGCTTTATCTCTATTCTAATTCGCGCAGTTACCCAGTTTGAATGGAAAATATGCAAGTGAACAGCCTGGTTGTTGCAAATGCACCAAAAATCTATAACCCCGTCTGTTTCTATGTTTTCTCTCTTTTTCTTAATTCAGCCAGATTTATACATGTGTGTATGTATATTTTTTTGCATTCGCTAACAATTCAGTTTGAGTATGCAAATAGAAGTATGAAAAATTGCATTTAGGCTTTGAGAGCATTGAATTCAGTGGCGTAGAAACATATTTTTATTTCGACATTTCAAGAAATGAAACCAGTGAAGAAATTATTACTGGTATTTCTAACCCTGAACGTTGGATATATCCGTTAGCGTTGTAATATCCGAACATATTCAGACAACTATAGCATGTAGTTACCATAAAAACTAACCGATCAAATACTAATCCTTATATGTAAAAAATTTTTGTTTTAAAGATCTCTTGACAAAATTTGGCGGAGAATATGGCTAAAGGCAACGCTGTAATCTCCAAACCAATTTTATGGATCGCATCATTATAGCATTTACATAGCTTCCATACAAACTATCCGATTAAAATAAAAGAAATATTTTGTGTACCATTTTATGCTATACAAAATGCATCTGTGAAGGGTATGAGTATTATAGCTTCGGTGCAGCCGAAGTTATCGATTTTTTTTTTTGTTTTTTTTTTACCAAAACTGATCCTGATTTGCGACAAATTGCCATGAATGCCTTTGAAAATAGTATCGTGTAGTTTTAACTTTGTCTCAAAATAAATTGCATGAAGAACACGAACAGCTGATTTGCCATATTGATATTTTGCGAAATTTACAATAAATGCCATATGTTTGCGACAGTAAATGGGTGCCACTATTATATATTTTAAAATTATGTAAGAATTGGCTAGTATCACCCCTTTCTAATATAAACTTGCTGACGTTAGTGGAGTTATCGTAAAAAATTATTACATAATTTTTTGGCTGTACGGATAAAGGCTGTTGAACTCTGAATCTGTATTTGCCTAGCATTTAGTATTATTTTGTACGATAAGGCTCAACAATATTCACACACTAACGTATACATATATGCACATAAGATTGCTTATATGAATTCATTAGCATGAATTTGAAGTACTTCTTTACATACATATGTATGTATGTATTTTATAATATATATGTAT